CATAAATGAGCAGGTAACGCTCAAAGTGGTTAAATGTGCTTCCCGGAGAGCCTAAGCACGGAAGGCAGAGAGGTTACTACCAACAAGAGTCTGTAATCTGCTTTCTTCCTCACTTATGTCAAATGAGGACTTCTTCCCCTATCAAGTTCTTAAGTGTCTGTACTGGAACAAAGAAAACCACAAGAACTATCATCAGCTTACGCATTTGCAATCTAATGTATGCACATACGAGTTTTTAAAAATCAACTGAGATATATGTAAATGAAAAATGATTGCTTTGATAAGTCTAGACTATTTGAACTACAAACTGAGAGTCCCTTATCCAAAGCACTTGGGACCAGAAGTGTTTTAGATTTCCCAAATATTTGCATATACATGATGAGAAGTCTTGGGGATGTAACCCAAGTTTAAATATGAAATTCGCTTATGTTTCATGATACATAAAGCATGAAATATCTGTACAATATTCTCAGTGCACCTATTTTTGTTTTGGTGGCAGTAGGTTCATGCATGCTAGGCAAGTTCTCTATCACTGAGCCACATCCCCAGCCCTTTTTTGAGGCTCGGTGTCTCACTAAATTCTCCAGGCTGACCTCAAATCTGTGATCATCCTGCTTCAGCCTGCCACATGTTGGGATTATGGGCACCTCTGTTTTGACTGTGACCCTGGTGAGCTTTCCATTATGTCATTTCAGTGCTCAAAAAGTTTCAGATTTTGGAGTATTTCAGATTTTAGATTTCTCAGACTATGGATAGTAAGCCTGTTATGTTCAACTTGCACTGTTCCCACCTTAAGCAGCTTTATAGTGCCTGCTATAGTCAGAAATCCTTCTGGAATAGGTTCCTTAAGCAGATCACTAGGTTCTTCATCACAGGGACACTGCTACTGACTAGAATGAAGGTTTGACACTAATGCAATCACCTGAAGCAGTGATGGTGAACCTTTTAGAGACCGAGTGCCAAAGAGCAACCCAAAAGCCAGTTATTGCAAAGTGCCAATACTGCGATTAAACCCGAATACCGAGGTTTTACTTTAGAAAAAACAACTCATACATTAATATCTTTTGTCTTAAAAGAAAAACACAGTAACACGTGTGCCATAAATTCACTACCGCTAACCCAAAGGTTCAGCAGCAGTCTCAGAGATAGCTCAAACAGGAAGGAATTTGTTGGCAATGCCAGGGCAGTGGTCTGCAGCTAAAATAATGGAGTCACTGGGACACCACCAACACCACACCAACAACAACCTCCTGCTGAAGACCCCAGAACACTACTGAACCCCAAAGACCACCCACCTCCAAATGACACCCTCACCACACAAGAATAAAGCTCACCACTCCCAATACTTCTTTTCCACTGCAAGAGCCTGGAAAGTAAAAAATGGAACCAGAATAACAAATAATGTATTTTTTACCTTAACTTGTATCAGCAATCCTCAACCAAACAAATGAACTGAAAAAGAATTTTTTAAAAATAAGACAATCAAGGATATTCCAAAACTGACTGGATATTCAAAAGTAAGAAATTACTATTCCTTAGGCTTGAGGATAGCATTGTGATGGTCTTTTATGCTTCTGTGGAGCTTTCCCCCAACTGCTTGTCCTTCAGCTTCACCCGGTGGATTAATTTAGAGATGAAAGGCCAGAGATGTGCTTTAGAATATTCAACAGGTGGATAAAACAAGAGTTGGGCATGTGCTAATAACAGCTGAAGACGAGTAACTGATAAATGAGACTTTATTAATATATGCGCACCTTTCTCTATTTTTTGCATATGGTTGAAAGCTGTCCTCAGGCAAGGAAAAGGTATCATCTACATCAGAAAGTCCTGTCAAAGCACAGAAGTTTTTATTTCACTAAACCTCCCAAAATTCTACTTTTTTCTCATGCATGTGGCTTGATTAGTAATTTCCATTCTCCAAACGAATTAACTGCCTCCAACAGACTAAAAACGGAAATACAAAAATCTTTGTCGACTTTTAACTCCACTCACCAGGTTAGTGCTGAGAAACAACTTACAATTCCAACTTATATTTAATCACATTATTTAATTCCAAGACCATTTACGTTTTGAGTTAAGACGATGAAGAGGCATAGGGTCTGTTTTATTTTAGATTTACCTCACTCCTCCCCTAGGATTAAACTAAGTTTGGCGGACAGGGCACAAAGCTGGAAATGTAACAGATGTTGGCTCACTCCCCGGAAGCAAACTTCCCCAGAAGAGGAGAAAAGAACTCACTCGAACGTGACACACAGAAACATTCCAAAATCTCCGGTAACCCACGTACGCGCTGACAGTCGCCCTACTAGCCTCTCGAGTGGTTAGCACGCAGCGAGCCCGGTTGGTCGGTGCCACCTCCGCCCTCCTCAGGGGAGGGGCTCGGGAGCCGAGAAATGGCCAAAGACAGGCCGGAAGGAGGAGAGCGAGACGCATGGAGTCCGGACAATCGGCGCTCAGACACCGAGAGAAGTGCGCTGGGAGCGGACCGCGGGACGAGGGAGTGGGCGGCCTCACACGCCCCGCGCCCCCCTCGTGCCTGGGAACCCGGAGGGCAGGGCTCGCTGCTGGCCGCCACTCCTCCCGACCCTCGCCCAGCGAGTGCCGGAACTCGGACC